GCTGAGTGGCTCTCAACCCTGATTACTCTTCTAGGGGAGGTTTGGTAAAACCACCAACATCCTGCGCCCACCTCCAGATGCTTTAATTTGTTGGGTATGAAAATTCTCCAGATGTTTTCTAGTGAGCATGCATCCGCATCCGGGCTGAGGAGTGCCGCCCTAGGCTATAGCGACAGGTGTCCCCCAGTTGTACTAATGCATGTTTCAGGAGGAAACTGACCTCCTTCAGGGTTCTTGCAGTGTTTTTCAGGGAGCAGGCCTCTGACTTGGAAGCTCTCAAGCTTGCATATGTATGCATCACCTGAAAAGCTGCTCCGAAAGACAGATTCCTGGAGCCCCATTCCAAGCAACCTCTGTCTTCAACACTGGGGCCTTGGGTGCCAACTGAGTGCCCAATGGAATAGGGCGCTCTCTGAGGTTGTGACCACACCTTCAGCTGAGAATTCACCCCTGACCATCAGTTTCAAAGACTCCATTCCTGAAATCCCACCATGTTTTGTGTCTTATTATTGCTCTTACTTTTTGCCATGAATTTCTGTGTCCATGTTTTGTTTTGACTTATTGATCTGATCATCATTATTACAAAGGATCTTTATCCTTTTTTGTTTGTTTGTTTGTTTTGAGACAAAGTCTTACTATGTAGTTAAGACTGACCTAGAACTCACTATGTAGCCCAGGCTGGTCTTGAACTCACAGCGATCTTCTGCCTCAGCCTCCCGAGTGCTGGGATTACAGGTGTGCACCACCACACCTGACTACAAAGGATCATTTTTAAAACTGGAAAATCCAGGTTAATAAAAATGATCTTCATTCCCACCCTGTCAAGACATATCTATATACCCCCGGATGTCTTCTTTCTGTATATATATTTTGTACCAGGGATTGAACTCAGGACCTTGCTCTTGCGAGGCAGGTGGCAAAACCACTTAGCTAAATCCCCAGCCCCGTCTTTATATTTTTGATAACAAGATCCTACTCCATGGGTGAGTTTTACAATCTTTTTTTCACCTAAAATATAATGTTTGGTGATTCTATGGCCTTCCCACAGCTTCATCTCTATCTCCACAATGACTGGTTTAGTCTTTGCCATAAAATCCTACAATTCTGGGGTAGGGCAGTGTGTCAATTAGGCTTCCAAGACATCTGTGTCCGTTTTGCAGCATGAAATGCCCGTAGATCTGTGTTCACCAGCTTTAGCCACAAGAGCAGGGTCTGTCATAGTCACAACAACCTTACAGAGGGCTTTTCCAGAGGCCGCAGAGGGCCATAGGTACTGCCAAGGCTCAGCTCAGGGCCCAAAGGTGGGAGAGGGAAAAAGAAAACAACTTGCTCATGACAGCGCTGAGTGACTCCCAAGCCAGGACCAGGGTGAAAGTTACGAGGGGAATTGGCTGCTCTTTGGAATCAGAAAGGTTATTGCTCAACTCCTTGGATTTTCCATCCCAGCAGAGCAGGGAAAGGGTCAGGTGGGGAATGTCTCTTCTAGCAGGTCCTTTTAAAGCCTCTTGGCTGGACCAATTTCCTCTCAGGAGCCAAAAAAGCTGTGCCTGGGTAGAGTTAACTCCTCTACTCCCAGTGAATTCTGGAGACGCGTGAGCCTGGGAGCCTGGACTCCGGAAAGGCAGAGATATCCAGGGCAAGAGGCCTAAGGAGCCGTGAACTGTGGCTTGTTAAATCCAACAGGCATACTTGCGTCCTGCTGACCTTAATTCCCCTGGCGGGTTTCATTGGTCCTGGCATTGCCCCACTTCCTGTCCTGCCCTGGAGAGGCAGAGGGTGTCCGCAGTTGGAGCAGAGCAGGGAAGCCCCTTCGTGTGAGGGTGGGCAGGGGCTCTGGCAAACCCTAGCTGTGTGAAGGAGGTTTCCCTGTGCCTCCAAGAGTGCTGAGGAGCTTGGGGACTCCCAGGGAGCAGCTGGCAGGTGCAGGCCATTCTGTGGATCCAGAACCAGGCCAGCCTCCCAATCTAGCAGAAGGCTCAGCGGAGCAGGCAGAAACAGCAGAGCCCTCTACCTGATGTGCCCCGCACGGAGCCCCACTACCTGCTTTACTGTGCCAAGTGCTCTACATACAGGTGCCGGCTGCATCTTCCCAGCCACCCTGTGCAGGAGGCCACGGAGCGGAGTGGTGATGAGCCAAGTCTTGGGTTAGGTGGGTCCAATCCCAGCCCTGTGACCTTGCCCACGCCTCAGTTTTCCTGCTGCATCTGTGAAGCGGATGCAATGGCTGACATTTCCACACTGCTCTAAAGGTTGGTGTACCTTCCCCAGGACAGGCACTTCTGCAGGCAGGAACCCAGCGAAGGCATTCGTCCCAGCTCACAGTTATTGGTCATGCAGTTCCACTGACAGAGCTCCCGACCCTCTCCCAGCAGGGTCATTATAGGGATTAAAGGACCCTCAGTTGTTTACCCCGCATCCTGGGCTGTTCTAGAAAGAGTTCAGTAAGTTTATTCTTGGGAATCATAACAGTAATACAAGTAGCAAATGAAGCCCCTTAAATTGTCCTAGCCTGGATTCTGGTCTCACCGAGAGGGGGCTCTGACTTTGAATCTGGGTAGTTTGAAGCCGCTCACTAAGCTATTTACCTTCTCTGAGTGTCAGTCTTCTCATCTTTAATCACTTGGCTTGTGAGGCTCTAAGAAGGGTCAAGCCCTTGGCACAGTCAGGCCTCCCTTGGTGGGCACTCTATATGTGACAGGTTTTGTTTGTTTGTTTCTTTTTGAGGCAGGTTCTCACCATGTAGTCCAGGCTGGTCTTGAGCTCACTATGTAGCGTAGGCTGGCTTCAAGCTTGTGGTGATCCTCCTGCCTCAGCCTCCCAAGTGCTGGGATTACAGGAGCACGCCACCATGCTTGGCAGTACACGACAGGTGTTGACAACCACAGCAACAGCAAGGGGTGTCAGCAAGGCCCTCAGAGTAAAGTAGCCCCACAGACCCGGGTCTAGAATCTTGCTGGTCACTCAGTTATTTACTCATCAAAGACTGATTGGCAGGCACACTCTGTGCTGGGGACACATGAGCATCACACAGCCCTGCCCAGACCGTCATCCATCACCAGCAGATTTGGCCTGGGGCACTGAAGGAGGCCAGTGGGCAAGAGTGCTGTTCACACTTTCAGGCCAAACTAGAGAATGCTGTGGTGATGACCAAATAGAAGGTCAAGAGGTCCCAGCCCCGGATGTGGACAGGAAACACTTCAACCTCCCAAAGCCAGAGTAACCACTGACTGCACCCTCAGTTCTCCCTTTGTTGAGTGGCATTAGGCAAGCTACCTATTTCTTTAATTCTCCTTGTCCCCGTCTCAAAAACAGGATGAATGCTGCCCGCAGTTCTTAACAAGATAATGTGAAGCCAGCAGTGATGCTGAGGAAATGAGCGCTCCCTTCTCTCAGGGCAGCTGAGGTTCAAATACCAGCTCAGCCTCTTCTAACCAGTACGACCTGGTATAAGTCTCGTCACCCCTGCCTCAGTTTCCCCATCTGTCCTTTCCCCATCTCGTCAGGTTGTTATGAAGACTGTACGAGTGAATCTTCCCAGAGTGCTGAGGTGAGGCTGGTGCCGGGGAGTGCTGTACATACTAGTTATTTTCACTTCCTGAAAGAGGTAAGCTGTTAGCTGGACCTCACAGAAGAGAAACAGGAGAGGAAGGCTGCGCCTGAAGAGGACCGTCAGACTGGGGAGGGCTCGCCAGCTCTAGTTTTTGCTAACTTGTATCAAAAGAAAACCAAAGAAACCAACAGAAAAAGGCCACACAGTGACATTTCTCTTCCACCCTTGGTGCCCAGTTTCTTGCTTATTCTGCCAAAGAAATTCTTATGATTATAAGATGACCAAGTAAGCTGGGTGTAGTGGTGCACGTCTGTAATCCCAGCACTAGGGAAGCTGAGGCAGGAGGATTGCTGTGGGTTCAAGGCCAGCCTGAATTATAGAGCAAGACCTTGTCTGAAAAAAACAAAACCAAGCAAACAAAAATAATGACAAATCATATATTATTCACCGGCCCCTTTTGCGCAGATGTTTGCACACTCATGCACTTCTTTGGGGGTCACTGCTTAAGAGCTCATTAGCAGCCTCCTCCATCCTTGCAGCTGCACATTTCCCCCTTGCTTAGAGGCACTGCATTCCCTCTGCCTTCTCCCGTATGAGGGCAGGGGCTGGGCGTTTGTTCATTTGACAGAGAAGCTGAGTGGAGTGACTGGATGGTTTGCCAGTCAGAACCCGAACCTAGATGCCTACTCCACTGCTTCTCCCAAAGCCCTCAGCTCTGACAGCTTTCTCCAGCCCCTCAGGGAAAGGCTGGGCAAGCAGCCCTGGCTATGAAGGTCCCTTGGAGCATAGCTTGAACACCTGGAGCTGGGATCCCCATCGTAATGAAGGATTCTTGAAAAGACCCTCTGCCACTGCCCCATCCCAGGCAGGCTGCCAGAGAACTGGATCCAATCTGGGGAGCGGCATGGGGCCCTGGCCACTTTGCATGGCCCAGGAATCGGAGAAGTTTTTCCAGACGAAAAGCTTCTGGGCCCATAGCCATAGTAAGCAAATGCCCACCAGACAATTTCTTACCCAAAGATGGTCCAAGTAGGTTCAGATGCCAGGAGCAGAGAGCTGGGCACCGGGGTCAGGGTGGTTATCCCTGGGCCTGTGTGGGTCTCCCGGTTCTGGGAAACCCTAGGAGTTGGGGCATGCAGGTGAGCAGAACCAAGGCCAGGCCTGGACATGGTCTTGCCCTTCAGCTCTGTCTGAAGGTCCCCTTTCCTTCCAGGCCCCTCTGATCCTGTCTAAGGTGGGGGTCCTGGGTGAGGCCTGGGGAAAGGGCTTCTCTCTAGGGCCCAAGTACCCCCTTATTTTTTCCTCTTCCTGCTTATTCCAACACCACTGCACCCCAGTCAGGCTGTGGGAAGAATGCTGTGTCCTCTGAACAGGGGCCAAGAGTGACAGGTGGTGGCGGCCTGAGCTGCATGGCCCCTGGTGTAAGAGATCCTCTTCTCCGTCCCCGCCTCCAGTGCCTGCACCCCTGCCTCCGCCTCTGCCCACCCGGCCCAATCCCTTACAACTGCCCCGGGACTGCTCCTGAGTAGCTGCTGTGAGACAAGGGCCCACAGGTTGCCCCTCTCTGCTCCAGGTATGTCTCTCCCCTTAATCAGCTGGGCCTGGCCTCCTCTTGCCACAGCTAGACAAGAAGGGCAACCAAGGGCCCAACGCATCTCTCTTCTTTCTGCAGCTAGAAAGACTTGACTTAGACAAGCAGAAGCACACACCTCCTTACCTCATGGCGACAGAAAATGGAGCAGTTGATTTGGGAATCCAGAGCTCAACAGGTGCCAAGCTAAGGCAGGAGCTGGAGGGAGGAGCTTGGGAGGGGATGGTTGAATTCAGGGTTGGGCAGGTTCCTTAGAGAGAGTTCTGTGCCCAAGGTTTCTTTGCATGGTGCATAGGGAACTCAGGAAGCAGAGTGGTCTCTGGGTGGGGTTGGGCTGGGTCTAGGGCCTGCACGAAGACCTCCCTGGACAGCCCGGGAGTATGGGAAGCCTCCGTGGATGACTGCTGGGATGCACCTAAGTAGACACTTGGCACAGAGTGGAGGGAGGGGAAGCAAGACCCACCCAGAGGGCTAGAGCCTCCCAAAGAGGCTACCAAGGTCCTGGCAGCCCATCTCAGGGGCCCATCAAATAGCTCCATGGGACGAGAGTGCAAACTGTTACCTGGGCGGAGACCTGGGCCCAAGACTGGTCTCCATGAAGCCAGGCTGGGGAGGGAAAGCCGGGTGGATCCTGACAGACGTCTCACCTCCTTATAGACAAGGCATCTAACAGTGCTACAGATGAAGGACCTCGGGCTGCAGAGAAACTCCCCGGCTCCCCAGACCCCAAGAAAGATCCAGATCCATCCACCCTGAAGAAAGATGCCAAAACCCCTGCTCCAGAGAAAGGGGACGGTGTCCCAGCTCAGCCCTCAGCCAGCAGCCAGGTCCCTGAGGCAGAGGCTGACCAGGGAGGGGGACCTGCGGAGGGCAATGCCGGGCAGCCAGCAGCCCTGCCCCAGCAGACTGAGACAGCCGAGGTCAGTGCCAAGAAGCCCAGTGCTGAGCAGGGATCTGCAGGCAGCCGAGCACCCGGAGAGCCCAAGGTGGGCAAGAAAGTGGCAGAGGGCCAAGCCATGGCCAGGAGGGGCTCTCCTGCCTTTCTGCACAGTCCCAGCTGCCCCGCCATCATCTCAAGGTGAACGTCCCTGCCTGGGAATGGGAGGCACCTCGTGGCTCCCTTCCCCTAGAGACACACTTGGTTCCCTGTCCAGGCATTGTGGTCCTCCCATTCAGTGCTGGGGAGGGTAGGACCGATGCTCAGCTCCCTCTGTCCTGGGTGTTGGCTTTGCCGCATTGTCCCTGCAGAACCCAGGCCTTGACCACCGTTCATGGAGGCCTGGAATGTTGCACAGGAGACGTCTCAAAAGCCCACCACAGGTGGATTTGTCTTCTCTTCTCTGGCTAGGCATTTGGCCACAGAGTTCCCCTTATTCCGTGGGCTCAGCTGTAGCCAAGGGTTGGACTGAGGTGTCAGGAGGGAAGGATTTTAATATAATTGTTGGCATAACATGAATAGATGACTTACAGATTGATAGATCATTGCTAAGACTTATAGACATAACGCAGCACCGGTCTTAGGATGTGATCAGATGTGCACACCTGAATGCCAATGAGGCCTTAACATTAGATTGTAAGCTGTCATAATATCATCATATCAATTTAATAATTATGTATTAATAACATCAATTCATCCCCGCAGTTTTTATGAATCAAGAGTTATGTAATTCCCTAATTGTAGCTGCACATCGGTGGCCCATATCAATCATGTTATTGTCATTAACGTTCTGTCAGTGTGCATGATTACAGCCATTCTGGATCTTGTGCCGAGTGAGTCTGGGGGACTTTGGGGCAGGGTCGGACCTCTCCAGGTGGCAGATGAGGTCCAGGAGCACAAGCTCTGCCAGAGGCCTGGGTGTGATGGCTGTGGAAGCCTCACCTCTCGTCTTACCTTCCAGCTCTGAGAGACTGATGGCCAAAGAGCCCCTCAGTGAGGCCTCAGAGCTCATCTTTGAAGGGGTACCTGATACTCCTGGCCCCCCAGATCCTGGGCCAGCCAAGGCAGAAGGAGAGAAGAACATCATGGCAGGGAGCCAGAAGGAAGCAGGAGAGAAAGCCCCAGGCCAGGCTGGCCTGGCCAAGGTGCAAGGGGACACCTCGAGAGGGATTGAGTTCCAGGCTGCGCCCTCAGAGACAGCGGAGGACTGGCAGGCCCTCGGTCTCCCAGCCGGGGAGGAGGACTGCTTCCAGATTCTGGGTAGGCGGGGACTGGCTGGCCTGGATGGGGGGCAGTCCAAAGAGTCCCAAGCATCCCCATGCAGGGCGCTGAAGTGCCCTAGGCCAGGCTTCACCCAGGCCACTTGTCTAAATGTCACATAGTGCCAGGAAGCATTTCCTATTGCTAGAAGTGGAAAAAGGGAAAAACTACGTGCTCCAAAACACATGGTAAAGACAGACTGGCTCCCGAGTCCACTTTTGATTCTTTTTTTCTTTGGTTAAAATAGGGTTAAACCAACCGGTCAACAAACCAACCAACCCAAATCAGGGAGATTATTGGAGCAGCACCAATTTACTGGACAGTGGAAGTGGGGGTCAGTCTGTAATGAGCCTCAAATGCAAAGGGCTCAAAGGCTCAAACTACATCCTGGGGGGGGCGGTCCCTGGGAGCCACTGAGGGTTGCCAAGCCGAGGAGCACAGGTGTCTGTGTGAGATCAGTGACCAAGGAAGCTGGGCTGTGCAGCAGCCTCCGTGGGCGCTCAGACAAGGCCCCAGGGGGATTTTAGGGCTTGTTCAGTGCGCAGCAGAGCATGAGAAAGCTTTGGGAGCAGGGGAAGAGGGAGAGGGCTGAGGGTGGGGGTGAGACGGGGTCAGGAGAACCTGAAGTGTCCTGACGCTCCCCTCCAGGCCGAGGTGCTCTGGGAGACCTGCCAGCCGGCCGGGCCTGGGCTGGAGAGCGGCACAGTGCCACCCAGACTGGGTGGGAGGACCTGGCAGCTGGGCGGCAGCCAGGGGACCTGCCTTCTGCCCCCCTCGGCAGCAGAGACCTCCGCCCCTCCCTGAGATCACATCCTGGCGTGACGGTCCCTGAACCGCCTCCAAGGGCCGTCTGATTTATCACCAGCCCGGCTTCCCTGTCGCCTCTGGCTATTTATATAGAGGTTTCCATTCCCTATGACTCAGCCTGCTGGCCTTCAGGGCCCGCTGGTCTCCTGCTGGCCGCTAGATGGCGGCCCCTCCCCACCAAAAAGCTCCTCCGCGGTGGCTGGCGTTAGAGGATGTGCGGGTCCCACCAGGCACCCGGTGGTTCAGACGCAGCAACCCAGCTCTCTGAGATTCCATAGCTGCGGATTTGGTTGGTTTGTCTGATCGGTTGTCTTTTAATGGAAACAAAGATAATGTGGGGTGGAATCCTCCCATTTATAGTGTAGGAGGGTCCGAGGAGTCCAATCAGCGATCTCATTGTTCTGCTAGAAGCTGGGTCCCTCTGAGAGGGGGCAGAGGCCTCCTAAGGCCATTGTGGGGGGGGTGGGAGGCGGAACTCAATTCGGGAACTGGGGCCCTTCGCCGCTGGAGCCAGGTGTCCCGAGGTATCGTTAGGTGAATTTAACTCACCCCTGGGTGTGCGGGGGTGGGGGTAACCAGGCAGGCGGATCCTCAGCCGCCTTCACACTGGCAGCACGGACCACGGTGACTCTGCTCTGCCTCCCCAGACGATTGCCCCCCTCCTCCCGCCCCCTTTCCACACCGAGTCGTGGAGCTGCGGCCTGGAAACGTGAACAGCGAATTCAGCTTGAACTCCAAGGAGGCACTTGGAGGGTGAGAGCCTGACCCCCAGGGGGACCTAGGGCCAGCACAGCGCCCAGTCCTGTGGCTGGGACTCACGACGAGGACATGTTCACTTCCACACAGGTCATGCATCAGCTGCCATGGGCTGCTGGGCCCTGTCCCTGTGGTGCACAGGTCCCTCAGTGTTCCCATAGGAAGCAGTATTTTCCTGTTTGTCTCTGGTCCCAGGCCCCAGTGACTCCCCAGGGTGATTCCTGCTTTGTAGAAAGCCTGGCTCCATCTGGTACCTTCCCAATTTCCTGAAGGTGACCCCCAGCCCAGGGCCCTGCCCTGCCCTCCCTTGGGTTGCACTGGAGATGCCACACAGAGATAAGTGGACAGGTACTCAGCCCTGCTGCAGGGCCCAGCTGTCCCAACTATAATCCGGACACCTCAGTTGGTGAATTTTTCTGAGGACCTCCCTTCGAGGCACAGGCTGTACACACCCCAGGTTCAGTTCAGGATCGAATCCGAGCTCCCCCCCAACCCCAAGAGCCTGTCCTTTCTGAGCTCATGCTTTGCATGATCCACAGAGCCGCTGCCCTGTCAGTGAGGCTTCTGGATATGGGGGAGAATCAGGGTTGGCTGGGTCAGTGCTCCCACCTCCCAGAGGAGAACCCAGGGTCACCATCAGGGCTGGGCTGAGATGGAACAGAGCATGGGACCCTGCTGACCCCTCTGCCCTTCTGCACCGCCTCACTCCCAGCCTCCTCCCTCTCCAGGGGCAAGTTCGGAGCAGTCTGTACCTGCACAGAGAAAGCCACAGGCCTCAAGCTGGCAGCCAAAGTCATCAAGAAGCAGAGCCCCAAAGACAAGGTAGGAGGGGGATGCCTGGCCCCATGAAGAGAGAGGTCTCGGAGTGGGTACCTCTCCCCTCCCTCCACCTGCACCACTGGCCCTGGGGCCTGGTGTTGGAGATGCCGCACAGAGTGTCAGGTGGACAGAAACACAGCCCTGCTGCAAGGCCAGGGTGCCCCAATGAGAATCCAGCTCATGAACTTCTCTGGGGACCTCCCCTGGGGCTGTGCACACCCCAGGTTCAGTTCAGCCACACTACAGAGTATGGGCTGTGGCCAGGGTCCCCAGGTGCAGGAAGCTGACACCAAGCTGGAGATGCCTGGCCCAGAGCTTTGCCTCTAGCCTGGCGCCTGACCCAGCTCAGAGGCCAGGAGCCCTGTTTGTCCTGGGTGTGGACGGCCAAATGCAGGCAGAGGTGAGGGGCTGTGGTGTAGGGAGGAAAGCACATCAGCACCCCAGGGTAGTCCGATCTGTAACCCAGGAAAGTGGGGGTTATGAGTGGGGGCCAGGGGAGGCTTTCTGACTGACTGGGCCTCAGGGAAGAGTCCTAGACCAGCTTCTCCTGTTTTTTTGATACAAGGGATTGAACTCAGGACCTTGTGTTCTCGAGGCAGCCGCAGTGCCACTGAAATAAATCCCCAGCCCTGTGCGGTGATGTTTTGTGGAGAGGCAGGGAGAGAGTTTCAGGCAGAAGTGACTATGGGGACATAGCTCAGGGGGAGAGCCCTTGTCCTGGAAAAAAAAAAGGGGAATAGGAGGAAAGGCCAAGGGACAGAAACAGCAGCGGTGCTGGGAAGTGAGCAAGCAGAGGCAGCCATGTGTGCAAATGCTCAAGGCCCAACCAGAGCACCAGAAGCAGCTCCAGGCGCCGTAGTCCAGCTTCCCCTGGAGGCTCTAAGAGCAGTGGGCAGGACCGTGTTTTCTACATGGCTGTGTCCTTCACCTTCCTTCCCACTTGGCCTCTGTCTCAGGACCCAGTGGGGCACAGATGTCCAGGGCCCCTGTGCTGTGCAGATTAACTGGAGCCCCTATCAGTCAACTGGTGATTGGGTGGTTTTCCGAGGCATTCTCTGTACCAGGGGCTGTGGAAATGTCAGGGAGCCAAAAGGGTCCCTGTCCCTCTGTGGCTGACAGGCTATACAGTGCAGGGACAGATAACTAAAATCTAAACAGAAAAAGCATGGTGTTAGATACTGAGAAGGGGTAGGAAGAAAAATAAAACGAGGTGAGGAATAGGAGGTACGAGGCTGGTAGGATTCTTTCAGAAAAGACCCCTCTGAGGAAGTGGGAGGGGAGGGGAGGCCTCAAGGGAGGACAGAGAAGCCACTGGGGGCCTCATGGTGCCCAGTGCTTAACTAGTGGCCCTGTGGAGCAGGCGAAACAGGGAGGAAGCATTTGCCAATTTCCCTGGTACAAATCTTCCTGCCACAGCTACCAGCATAGCAATGTGATAACTGGGTCACAACTTGCTGAGAGTGGACAAATAGCGGTGGCTTAGACTAGGAAGGCAGTGGTGGAGGAGGGGAGAAATGACTGGGCTTCTAACTTACCTTGAAGGTGGATTTTGCCGAAAGACTTCCTGATGGGCTTAGTGTGGGGCACGACAGATCTGAGGTCCCCCAGCCATCCAAGGGGATCTGGAGTGGCATCTGGAGCGGAAGGGAGCGCTCAGGGGCAGAGGTGTCTGGGAACCAACCCCATGGGATGCAGTGCAAAGCCAGGGGCTCATGGGAAGGTTCAGGTGGGGGCCACAGGAAGGAAGAGAGGGGCCAGGATGCTCTCAAGGTGACACGAGCAGTGGTCAGCAGCCCCGCAGGTCAGGTCTGGCTGGGGTGAGGCTAGGAGGCTGGGGGTGTGGAGAGACCATGATGGGCTGGTCCTCCTGGCTTCCGGGCCCCAGGAAATGGTGATGCTGGAGATCGAGGTCATGAACCAGCTCAACCACCGCAACCTGATCCAGCTCTACGCGGCCATCGAGACCTCGCACGAGATCATCCTGTTCATGGAGTAGTGAGTGGCAGCTGTGGGGGTCGGGGCAAGGGGCGGGGGCGCCCGCAGCCCAGGGCGTCCTGCAGAGGGGTCTGTGTATGCAGCATCGAGGGCGGTGAGCTCTTCGAGAGGATCGTGGATGAGGACTACCAGCTGACTGAGGTGGACACCATGGTGTTTGTCAGGCAGATCTGCGATGGGATCCTCTTCATGCACAAGATGAGGGTCCTGCACTTGGACCTGAAGGTACTGGGCTGCCGCCTGCAGCAGGGGTCAGTGTGGGCACCAGCCTCCCTCCGTCTCCCCTCTCTCCTCCTCTGTCCTCCCTCCATTCGTGGGAGGGTTTATTGAGTAATTACTAAGTGCCAGGAGCAGAGACAGACAGGAGGGGGGCCTCCGTCCCAGCTCTCACGGAACGTCTAACGTGGTGCTAAGTATTCGTAAGCGTCTCTTACAGTCCTGCGAGTGCCAAGCTCAGTGCCCGCACATCCAAGCAGGAATAACAGGTCTGTGACAGAGACTCCTAGCATTTGTTTGTTTATTCAAAGCCAACAAGAATGTGTTGAGTGCCTGCTAGATGCCAGGCAGCACGAGGGAGGTGGAGATCCAAGGACAACCCAAAGAAATAATCCTCTCCCAGGAGCTTGCTGGCTGTGCCGCACCGGGGGTGAGGGCAGCAATGCTGCTTTAGTGAAGGGACATTTATATCCCTCCGACCCAGCTCCGCGCTGCGCACACAGCGAGGCAGGGAGAGCGAGCAGTTTGTGTGTCACGTCAGCTTCCACCACTGAGGTGTGGCTGCCTAGAGCCCAGGAGCTGCTGGGGCGTGGGGCAGGAGGGGCAGCACAGGTGCCAGGGATGTGCTGTCCTTGTGGTGGCCTTAAGGCGTGGGGAGCGAGCGGCACGGCTGGAGGAGCATGTGCTGTGCTGGCGCCATCCGCCAGCCGGGTGCTACCTCCCTCGTTCTCTCACTGAGCACACGGAGCGCAGCCTGGAAGGCAGCACCCAGTAGCAAGCAAGACCATGTCTAGCATGGTATGTGTGTACGTGTTTATTCATTTATTTGGTTCAACCCAGGACCTTCGTACAGTCTTTTTTTTTTTTTTTTTTTTT